ATAGTCAGCTTGGTGTATTGTTCACGTGTACCGTATATGTGAAAAATAAGTTAGTTCTTTGACTAGTTTGTAGATGAATGCTATTTGCCCTTTCTCAGAAGTAAAATACTATATTTGATCTATAAGTAAGATTCAGACATTAGTAAAGTTATAGAAACAAAATATAACTTCTTGTGTGCGTATATAAGTACACACTCCAATTCTTTTTTTTTTTTTATTAAATAAAACATTGTTGTATACTAATAAAAAATTTATTGCGATTACATTAGAAAAAAAATTGAACATATCAACAAGTAATAAATGATAAAACGAGACGTATTATGGCAATCCATGTTCCATGATGTATGAAAGGAGCTCGCCTGTCAATTTTTGATTCTTTTTTATTAGTTCTTTAAATGGTAAGGAGTCCCAAATTTCCTTACGATGATTTCTTATATAGAGCATAATCTTTCGTTTTAATTGGAGAATGCTAAATCTATCTGCGAGTATAAAAAGTTTAATAACATTTCTCAAGTTTATATACCTTATTGCTACTTTTATTAATTCCGTATTTAGATATCCCATTTGATACATATCTGTTGCTACTATTAAATTTATAAGAAAATCAACTCCATGTTTTTTAAAATTAATATTACCAGTGTCACCAAGATAAAGATATCTCAGTATGATCTGAAATACCGCTGGATCCATTTCTTTGATATAAATGATGTTTTCATTACTTTCTTGCATATCATTTCGTAATATTGCTGCGAATACAGGATTTCCGATAAGTAATGCTTTATGGGCTAAAAATTCTTCTCCCTCGACATTTATTTTCAAATCTGTAAATTTTTTGTCTTCGTACATGTTTTGCAGATTAAAAAGCATCGTTAAATTTTCGTCAGTTATAATTTCGTAACATTTTATTGTATACGTGACAGTTACTTTAAAACTACCGATATCAGGTATATTTCCATAGTAACGTTTGATTGATAATGTTGGATTTTCTTCATTAATTGTTACTCTATCCAGGAAATGATTACGTCGAGTAAAACATAAAATTTCTTTAAACCGTGGTTTATCAACACAGAAATTTTTGTAATCGTCTTTAATTTTCAAAAAAAAAGTCATAACATAAAGACCTGTGACTTTTAACTTTACATAACAATGTAAATCAGTGCCACGTAATACATATTCAGGAGATTTATATTGAGTACTATCACTACAAATTTGAACTTGAAATTCAAATATTGTCTGCATATTTTCTATTTCTTGAATATCATTATCAAGTAATAAACGATTTTTTCTTCTATCACTGGACATTTTTTACGCGTAAAAGCACTACTGCTTTGATATTTATTCCACTTAAGACGCGTAATYACTTCTATTTTATGTTTTCCGTACTCGATACTGCTCTAACTTTTACAAATAAACCGTTTGTTGTTGCGTATCCTACGCAACGAGTGGGTAGGGCGAAGCGCAGGGGCGTGTACGGCCCTGCCGAGGCGTGAGACACGCGCGACAAAGCAGTATCTTTGCTTTTAGTGGTAACCATGGGAGCGCCAAGACCTTTGTAAGGGCTCCTTCTTTCTTCTTGCTCGCGCTCTCCCACCACATTTATTACTCCAATCATATGTATCAGCAGTAGCGTTATCATCGGGCTTTTCGGTGATTGGTCCAGCATTGCATCGCGTTTTCGTATAAAGCGTAGCGCGTTCTCGCGCTTAGGGGCACTAGGTATTGCGCACTCGGCATTCGGTACTCAGCATTCATCATTTATCACTCGTGATTCATCGCTCGAGATTCATCTAACTTGGAAAGCTGAGACTTGCGAAAACAACTTCGAGGAGAATTATTGTATTGCGCAATACTACATCATTTAAGTTCGGCCAGCGACAAGGGACAAAGGCGGTCCTGCACGTGGCCAGAATTATTCTGCTTTGTACGGATTCTTGTTCAACGTTTCAACCAGGGTTTTTATGCCGAAAGGCTTTTCCCTGACGAGCCAAATAAAGCRTACTTTTTAGTACTGACTGGGCTCAAATATATTTGTTATTGGTGTTTTATTCTCCTATCCTCCTTCCTATTAATAAACAATCTCGATATCACCCGTTAGGGCATTTTCGATTCACTGAACAATCCACTGGAGTACCAATTAAGGAATCGGTCGCAACAAAGTACATTACAAATAAAAATTGTTTATAGGAATTATACGTTGTTATTTATCTGTTTTTCTAGAAACGTATTTATGCAAATACCAGCCAAATCCTTCAATATTCTTTGCTTGATAAACGTTACCTGAATAACATTCATTAGTTATCCTCACTGTCTATTCATGTGTTTTAACATAAAATCTCGTACATTGCCTAATATAGTATAAAAAAAAGTTAGATCTGAGACGTTACTAATAAGAAAATTGTTTTGAAGACTTTTAAAAACGTCAAATAAGTGTAAAATATAAGCTTTCGAATAAAAATTACTAAATTTAATATACGTTTTGATATTTTTCATTTTTTAAATGCTTATTGGTTGTTCATATTTAAAAATGAAAGGGTCTTTATTTATAAAGCAATTATAAATGAATATATGGTCGAGTATTACCGTTTCTTTTAATTATTTTTACGGCATTAAATATTGGTTCAGTAAGATTACGTTTCGACTAGAAAACGTCAGTTTATCACGACTAATAAGTCGATACTTGTAAGCAAAGGTTTTTAAATTTTCTCTTTGTGGAGACAATATGACAATTTTTTTTTATTTTAATATTTAAAACCTTAATAAGTATAATGAACGTATTTTTTTTGTGTTTCCGAAAGCATTTATTAGGTATTTTTCTAAATTTTATAAAAGGGTGTACCCGAAAAAAAGTTAACTGTACCCATTAAACATGGTTTATATATGCAAGTGCATTCTGCAATAATAAATTATTCACATTATTTATATATAATACGGATTCCCCCGCGCTGCCTGATAGTTCATCACCGGTAAGAGTCTTATGTAAGATTCGTTCTAGCTGGAAGTAGTAGAAGCGAGGTCTTATTCCCCCATTTCCAATAGTAATCTCGTGTTACCGTTCAATGCTAATTCGCCGCCGTCGTAACTCTCCAAAGTCCCAGAAGTAATAATGTGCACATTAGATAGAAGAAAGTAAACTGGATTCTTATACTCAGTTGAATGTTTGTAAAAAATTAGCTTATCAACAAATGATTTTATTAATAAATTTGATTAAAATATTAGTCAAACAAAAATTTATATGCAAATATAAACATAAAATAGATACATTATTCTAATTATAATTAAAACAACTTTTTTGTGAAACTGAAAAATAAGATTTATTGTTCCTACAGCAAAAGTCTTACAAATGTATTATATTGCATACATACATGTATTGGAATTAAAGAAATTTATATATTTTTTCTGTTTTTAATATTATGCTAATATATTTATATATTATATATATAAAAATTTTTATTTCTTTAGTTCTAATGTGCCACGCTCTGCATGCGACAACGTGATGGTTAGAATTACAAGAAGAAAAAGAGAAAATAAAATAATTATATTTTGCTGCATACATAAAACAGATTACCACAAAACAACCATCAATCGACATACATCAAATGGACCTATAGAACGTTTGAATTTTACTCTAAAACAGAAGTTGGGAATCGTAATGGAACAAAATCCAAGAGAAACTATCCGAAACCGTATGACAAGAGTAATTCTATTTTATAATCGAAGAATCCAATCAGCCAAAAACATTGCACCTTTTATCCTTTTATACAGATTATACGAAGACTTGCATGAACATGTAATCGAAACCGAGGCCGACACATTCGAAAAATAAAATGATAAACAAAAAAATGAAATTTTACTTTTCTATAACATCTGATATAATAAGCAGATAAATAATAAAAAGTTACCCAACTACTCTGATAAAACATTTGAAAACAAGGGAATCTATATTAAAACGCAGACTCGGCCGCGTGACAGAACGGTAGCTTGATATCAGAAAATGTTCGTAAAGAAACAAAAGGGTCCCGTGTTACAATGATATGTACATGGCCAGTCCTGACGTTCTAATTTAAGAAATGGCATAAAATTAAAAAAAAAATATTTTCTTCGTACGACAATGAAGACTGTTCTAATGCTGCTACTCACGGCAAAAGACTTTAAGTCAGGCAGTTGCAACGAAAGATTTGTAACGTGCCGAAAGGCTACCATCGAGGAAAGGGCTATAGCCGCCTAGGCAACAAGCAAAGCTTTGTAGACTTGTAGCCGAGCAGTTGCAACGAAAGATTTGTAACGTGTCGGCGGACTACCATCGAGGAAAGGATTTAAGCCGTCCAGATTACAATCAGAGATTTGTACCAGTACTGGCTACCAACGTGAGATAAGGTTTTAGCCGAGCAGGCTATCATTAAGTAGGTAAATTGCGACTTGCGACAGAGTAAAGCAAACGTCTGTAGAGCGGATAATAGGTTGAATCAACGAGCGTCTAGTTACAGGTTTGCCGTAAAGATGTAAGGTAACCGAGCTCTCTAGCGTGCGACCAAAATTACTTTTCAACGTAATTGCCTTTATGTATTCTTTTTTTTTAGCTATCTGCTTATCATTATTTGTACATACTATTTTTCCTTTTAAAAAAAGCATTCACTTGCCCCGGCTTTTCTCTCAATTTCGTAAGAGTTTCTATGCCGAGACAAGCATCTCTTTTTTGTGTAAAACTGTGTAACTAATGCTACATTCTTATCAATTAATTTAATTCTTATATGTAGAACACAAGAAATTGTAAATAGTTTCTTTAGTGTTGCTATTTCATGACATTATTGATTTGTATATTGCTTTCAAAAAAATAATTATTAAAATGATCGTCAAACAAACATTTAGGTAATTTAATTCTAATTAATGTCATTCATTGTTAGTTTTCAGTAATTGTTAAATACTTGGACCCTGCATTACAAATGTTCTAAAATTATTTTTTAAAAAAAAATATTATTGCTGTTTTCATCTGTTTCACAGATATATAAATCTTAAAAAAAATTTCAAATCAAGAAACTATTAAATGTTTTTTAAAATGTGAAAAAATCCGTATTTTAAATCGTTTACTCTGTAGATCATGCAAAATTATTTTTCTTATATAAAACACAATAGGAAATCAAAGGTCACCGGAAGATTTGAACGTCATTTCGTTTAAATGGAAGGCCAGTGACAATGATTCACACGTAAATGCATTAAATTTGCTCAATAAATAGCACAGAAAAATACTTAAATATAATTTACAAGTGCGGTTAAATAAAGAGCATTTAAAATAAAAATCGTGTAAGTTACAAAGAGTACATGTGTTATAATAGTTTTATCTTGTTCAGTTTTTGAAATTTCTATTACCTAGTTGCTATTTACTCTCTTGAAAAAACGCGCAGGTTTTCTGAATATTACTAATGATACATTTCTCTTATAATTTATTTCTAATTCTTGTTAAAGATTCTTATGCTTGCTATAGTTACAACTGGAAATACTTTTTTAAATATTCATATTTTTTGAGATTAATGAATCGTATATTTCTTTACAAAATTAAAAATAAAACGGTTAAGTTAAAACATTTTACTTGTGATTGAAGTTTTTTGTTTTAATGTCTACATTGTTAATTTTTCGTAATATTTAGATACATTTATCCCGCATTCAGAATGTTTAAAATGTACTTCCAAAAAAACTGTATTCTATAGACGTATATTTTTCAATACGTCTGTTCAAAACTTCTATAAGATCTTAAAAAAAATTTCCTACCAGAGAAGTATTAAATGTTATTTGAAAAATAAAGTATTTGGCATCTCGAATCGTTTACAGTGTTGATTATACGGAAATATCTTTATAATATAAAAGTCAATAAGGAATCAAAGATCATCGGAAGCCGTGGGAAAAATCTTATTTAAATGGAAGTCCCATGACAATGCTTCATACGAAAATGCATTTTATTTGCTAAATCAGTCGCATAAATAAATACTTAAACCTAATTTAACTGTACGATTTAATAATGAATATTTCAATTAAAAATCCTCCAAATTACAAAGAGTACTTGTGCTTCAATATTTCTATTTTAATCTTATTTTTAGTTTTCAATTAACTGGTTCTTATTCGTAATTTTTGAAAATGTAATACGTTTTCTGGATATTACTAATGCTACATTCTTCTTACCTTCTAATTTAATTCTCGTGTGTGGAATACTAGAAATTTTAAATAGTACCTCAACTATTGCTTTTTAACATGAATAATGATTTGTATATTGCTTTAAAAGAAATATTAATTTAAATGTAAAATAAAACAAT